ATTCGATTCACATAATTATAACTAATTATGACATCAATCCAAAACCCAAGAACCACATATATGATCATACGTGCAACATGGCTTCATTAAGGGCGGGGGGCGGTCGGGTAGCCTAGTGGTTAAAGCGTTCGCTCGTCGCGCCGAAGACCCGGGTTCAATTCCCGACATGGGTACAATGTGTGAAGCCCATTTCTGGTGTCCCCCGCCGTGATATTGCTGGAATATTGCTAAAAGCGGCGTAAAACCCCACTCACTCCCTCACTCATCAAGGGCGGTGGATAGCCCAGCGGGTAAAGGCGTAGGTTCCTAACGTATAGAGCGAAGACCTGGGTTCGATTCTCCGCCTAGGTACAGTGGGTCTGTGGTGGGTGGCAGCTGGATCAGAGGTGGACGCGGCGTAAAACATCATTCACTCCGAGCTGCATTACACAGGAACGAGGCCCGACTCAACACGACGTCACTCAGCTGTGTCCGCCCCCACCCCCTTCCACTAACCTACCCCTACCCCCATCCCCACCAGCTCACGGTTGTGCCTCCCACGTCAAGGTGTGTTATGTCCGCCAACATATGTATCAATAACTCTGATTCTGAACATAAAATTTTGTTTAAATATAATAAATTGACTCCCAGCATGTTCTGATTTGAAAAAGCCAACATTATTCTCTTACCCCCCCCCCCCCCCCCCCCCCCCCCCCCCCCCCCCCCCCCCCCCAGTAGATATTCGTATGTCATTTGGCAAATACGTTTCTTCGCTGATGGGAATAATATTAAGAATGTACATTAAGAAATTTACAAGAAAAGTAAAATACAATGACACTCCGAGAACAAAGACGGTAATGTCATGTGTTATAGTCAAGAACGTGAAGACGGTTATAACACAGACAGTATCGTGTTGTGTACATGAAGACGGTTATAACACACATAGTATCGTGTTGTGTACGTGAAGACGGTTATAACACACACAGTATCGTGTTGTGTACGTGAAGACGGTTATAACACCGACAGTATCGTGTTCTGTACGTGAAGACGGTTATAACACACATAGTATCTTGTTTTGTACGTGAAGACGATTATAACACACATAGTATCGTGTTGTGTACGTGAAGACGGTTGTAACACATACAGTATCGTGTTGTGTACCTGAAGACGGTTATAACACACATAGTATCGTGTTGTGTACGTGAAGACGGTTATAACACAGACAGTATCGTGTTGTGAACGTGAAGACGGTTATAACACAGACAGTATCGTGTTGTGTACATGAAGACGGTTGTAACACACATAGTATCGTGTTGTGTACGTGAAGACGGTTATAACACAGACAGTATCGTGTTGTGAACGTGAAGACGGTTATAACACAGACAGTATCGTGTTGTGTACATGAAGACGGTTATAACACACATAGTATCGTGTTGTGAACGTGAAGACGGTTGTAACACACACAGTATCGTGTTGTGAACGTGAAGACGGTTATAGCACATACAGTATCGTGTTGTGTACGTGAAGACGGTTATAGCACACACAGTATCGTGTTGTGAACGTGAAGACGGTTATAACACAGACAGTATCGTGTTGTGTACGTGAAGACGGTTATAGCACACACAGTATCGTGTTGTGTACGTGAAGACGGTTATAACACAGACAGTATCGTGTTGTGTACGTGAAGACGGTTATAACACACATAGTATCGTGTTGTGTACGTGAAGACGGTTGTAACACACACAGTATCGTGTTGTGTACGTGAAGACGGTTATAACACAGACAGTACCGTGTTCTGTACGTGAAGACGGTTATAACACGCACAGTATCGTGTTGTGTACGTGAAGACGGTTATAACACACACAGTATCGTGTTGTGTACGTGAAGACGGTTATAACACAGACAGTATCGTGTTGTGTACATGAAGACGGTTATAACACAGACAGTATCGTGTTGTGTACGTGAAGACGGTTATAACACAGACAGTATCGTGTCGTGTACGTGAAGACGGTTATAACACACACAGTATCGTGTTGTGTACGTGAAGACGGTTATAACACAGACAGTATCGTGTTGTGTACATGAAGACGGTTATAACACGCACAGTATCGTGTTGTGTACGTGAAGACGGTTATAACACACACAGTATCGTGTTGTGTACGTGAAGACGGTTATAACACAGACAGTATCGTGTTGTGTACATGAAGACGGTTATAACACGCACAGTATCGTGTTGTGTACATGAAGACGGTTATAACACAGACAGTATCGTGTTGTGTACGTGAAGACGGTTATAACACACACAGTATCGTGTTGTGTACATGAAGACGGTTATAACACACACAGTACCGTGTTGTGTACATGAAGACGGTTATAACACACACAGTATCGTGTTGTGTACGTGAAGACGGTTATAACACAGACAGTATCGTGTTGTGTACATGAAGACGGTTATAACACACACAGTATCGTGTTGTGTACATGAAGACGGTTATAACACAGACAGTATCGTGTTGTGTACATGAAGACGGTTATAACACGCACAGTATCGTGTTGTGTACATGAAGACGGTTATAACACAGACAGTATCGTGTCGTGTACGTGAAGACGGTTATAACACACACAGTATCGTGTTGTGTACGTGAAGACGGTTATAACACAGACAGTATCGTGTTGTGTACATGAAGACGGTTATAACACGCACAGTATCGTGTTGTGTACATGAAGACGGTTATAACACAGACAGTATCGTGTTGTGTACGTGAAGACGGTTATAACACACACAGTATCGTGTTGTGTACGTGAAGACGGTTATAACACACACAGTATCGTGTTGTGTACATGAAGACGGTTATAACACACACAGTATCGTGTTGTGTACGTGAAGACGGTTATAACACAGACAGTATCGTGTTGTGTACGTGAAGACGGTTATAACACATACAGTATCGTGTTGTGTACGTGAAGACGGTTATAACACACATAGTATCGTGTTGTGTACGTGAAGACGGTTGTAACACACACAGTATCGTGTTGTGTACGTGAAGACGGTTATAACACAGACAGTATCGTGTTGTGTACGTGAAGACGGTTGTAACACACACAGTATCGTGTTGTGTACGTGAAGACGGTTATAACACACACAGTATCGTGTTGTGTACGTGAAGACGGTTGTAACACACACAGTATCGTGTTGTGTACGTGAAGACGGTTATAACACAGACAGTATCGTGTTGTGTACGTGAAGACGGTTATAACACATACAGTATCGTGTTGTGTACGTGAAGACGGTTATAACACACATAGTATCGTGTTGTGTACGTGAAGACGGTTGTAACACACACAGTATCGTGTTGTGTACGTGAAGACGGTTATAACACAGACAGTACCGTGTTGTGTACCTGAAGACGGTTATAACACACATAGTATCGTGTTGTGTACGTGAAGACGGTTATAACACACACGGTATCGTGTTGTGTACGTGAAGACGGTTATAACACACACGGTATCGTGTTGTGTACGTGAAGACGGTTATAACACACACGGTATCGTGTTGTGTACGTGAAGACGGTTATAACACAGACAGTGCCGTGTTGTGTACGTGAAGACGGTTATAACAGACAGTACCGTGTTGTGTACATGAAGACGGTTATAACACAGACAGTATCGTGTTGTGTACATGAAGACGGTTATAACACACAGAGTATCGTGTTGTGTACGTGAAGACGGTAATAACACCGACAGTATCGTGTTCTGTACGTGAAGACGGTTATAACACACATAGTATCTTGTTGTGTACGTGAAGACGGTTATAACACACATAGTATCCTGTTGTGTACATGAAGACGGTTATAACACCGACAGTATCGTGTTGTGTACGTGAAGACGGTTATAACACACACAGTATCCTGTTGTGTACGTGAAGACGGTTATAACACAGACAGTATCGTGTCGTGGATTAATTCTATGTAGATATATTTCAACTAACAAGAAATAGATACACAACAGGAGACATTGAATATAGATAAACAGAAAACGTCTGTATTAAAATTATGTTTTTGTGTGCAAAATCATGAGTTGTATTATTTCCTGTTATCATATCCCATATTAAATTAGATATGACTATGTTTTGTGTAAAATCGTACATAATAATTCCTGGTATGAAAACCGATATTCAATCCTCTGACGTAAGGAACGAAAGCCTTACGTTATTCATCTTCTAAATATGCCTCTTCGTTGTTTCCTGTTCATGTTGTGTGTTACGAAGTACCTATAACAGTACGCCTAGAGAAGCAGATAGCGGCCATGCGAGATTATATTTAGCAGCACGTCATGGAAAAATATACTCTGTCGGGGTGCCGTCATTATATCATCACTTTGAGTCTGCCTCACATTCGTATTACGCACATTCTAGTATTTCGTTTCGTTGATAATAAATGGCTAAATTTTCCTTCCATATTTTGTTTTTCAAGCGCTGACATTATGTCCGTGAAATACCACTTGAGAGATTATGAAAAGGATTCCATTTATATAAGTGTGAATAAGAATATTCCGACTACGCGTTCTTAATCACACATACACTCGTGACATGCCTTTCGCTAGGCGACCGATTGCTGTAAGAAGAGTGGGTGTTGTTAAAAAGCGAATCGTCCCTAAAACGTTTTTTACAGAAAGACGAACACAGAGCTCAGTGAAATAAGGTCAGGCTGTGGTTTCTCGCCGCCGCGCTGAATGAATCTACCTCTCAATGCTTGCCGTATCATTCACAAAGGTCGACACATTTGGCGCTGTGCCAAAACGGAAGTGACGTCGGTATTCGGTGTCTCTAAACATAGTACGTTGTGCAATGACCGCATGAGATCTAAAAATAGCACCCAACGGAGGACAAATTCATAATGATCGCCATATACGGTCGCCGAGGGGGGCGGGGCTTGTGTGCTGATTGGAGCCCGATGCTGTATTGTGATTGGTCGAGGTGGAAGGAGATGAATTATTGTTTACCTCTCTGAGCGTGAGAGCTCAGCATAAATTGAAGACACCGAGCCTGTAGTGAGAAGGCAGATCGGCCGTTAGGAAGATAGGTTGTATGTAGAACGAACTGAAGCTCAATCTAACGTTAGGGAAGACAGCTTCGCTTGTATACAAACGAAGTGACAGTAGGCCGGGATATATGCCGTGAAGGATACTGTAAACAAACACCGATTGTTTTGTGTGTGATTCTCTCAATCACAGCGTTATTCGCGTGGATTCCTCTCGCTCGTCCACGGCTTAGTTTCCCTTGGGAAGCGGATTATATAGGTACTCTACTCAGCTCTGATGCCTTGCCTGGAAGTGTTCACCAGCATGAGCAGTGACATCGGTGACTTTTGTAGTCCGGAGATTCTGTGCGATGAGATGAGAAACGGGGAGAAAGTGTTGCTCTTGGATTGCCGGTGTCAAGCTGACTACATTCGATCGCACGTAGCGGGCTCCATCAATGTGACCCTGCCCAGTCTAATGTTCAAACGACTTAAGAAGGGAACGCTACAGATTGCGACAGTCATTCAGAAAAACGAAGCCAAAGAACGGTTTAATAAGTGTTGTAAAACTCATCTGATTGTTTTGTACGACGAGTGTTCTACGGATCTCAATGCTAACCCTTCCAGTACAATCAACCTTCTGGTTAAGAAGTTGCGGCAAGATGGCTGCCGAGCTTCGTTTTTACTCGGTAAGTGATTTTTTTACAACCGCTAAGAGTAGGTTCTGGTTTGTCATTGATGATGCTTCAAGATATTCTGATGTTTTGGTGTAAATATTGACATGTACGCACTGTCACACAGACCGCACGTGTTTCTCGGTTATTGATCGTGGTGTATCGGGTTGTGATTGTGCTGCGTGATATTTACTACAATCGCATAACATAAACAGCCGTGCCTATTGTACGTTAACACATGACTGGGTCACGTTTCCATTCTGTGGAATCTATGTATATTTGACAATGAAATGTACTTGAACGCCGTTTTCATGTCGATGGCATGGTTTTATTTATTGTCCTGTATTTCAGGTGGGTTTTCAACGTTTGAGGAGCGTTTCCCCGAATATTGTTCCGCCCAGGAAAACACAGAATCCACGATTCTTGGGTTGAGGAATCTGCGTATATCCGAAGACTCCTCGTACGGTACCTCTAGCGAGAGTGACTGTGAAAATACACCACACATGTCACCCTTCCCGGCGCAGGTTTTACCTCACTTGTATCTTGGCAACGCTAAAAACTCCTCTGACATAAACCAACTGAAGAAATATGGCATCACATACATTCTCAACGTTACTCCCAACGTGCCAAATATGTTTGAAAATGATACCTCATTCAAGTACCTGCAGATTCCGATCAGCGATCACTGGTCACAGAATCTCTCAGCATTCTTCCCACAAGCTCTTGCATTTATCGGTGAGTGTAGATTGAAATGAATTATCATATATGATTGAGGCGAAATGTTTCGTATGGAACCGATACGATTGATTGTCAGTGTATTTAGTTTCTGTATACTTGGTCGATAATGGATTAAATATTCCAGTACGTGCCTTGAGAATATCTCAAGTAGTGATGTGTTTTGGGAGCGGATATAAATAGAAGTACAATCAAGATTTAATGAAATATATCCTCCTGTGACGTCACAAAGACGTTTTATCTGACTGGAGTCACACAGCGGAGCGAGACCCCCTGCGGCGCTTGCTCTTTAATCATGTCGAAACCCACAAGATCATTCAGCCGTAATTCTTAGACACGCTTCACTGACATACAACCGTATCATCTTCAACATGGATTATTTCGATTTATTGAGCTCTTTACCTAACGTTAATATTGTGTATAAATATCTACTCATGTCAACACGGTAGCGTGTGTGTTTTTGTCACATGTTGTGTATGTCCTCATAACGTGAGATGGAAACCAAACCATGTCGCTCGAGTTCCCCGTGCTAAGTCGCATCAATGGAAGGCATGAGACTACAATTATTGATTAGCTCCAACAGCTGGCTTATTCCCGCGCAATCCGTGAACCCATCCTGCGTTCAATGACACACTGACATTCAAGGAAAGCGATTATGATGTCTGTCGTTCTGTGGTTGTCGTGTGATTCAACCTCCCCGACTCGCGGCGAAGCTGCAACCTTCGGACCCACAAAGTAGGGCGAGCCTTGGTATTATCGCGTTTCAGCCATTTGCCGAACTCTTGTCGTCAGTGTCGCACAGTTAGGCTTATATGAGCCGTGCGCGTTTACAACTGGGGGTGAGACGCAGGTCGGTATTTGTGAATCCAAAAACGGGATCGTGTTTATTTCTGACAAATAACGAAAATCAATTCTATATATTGGACTTGTTTGACAAAACGTTTGCACTAAACGCTATTTGAAAGGCTACCGGGTGACATATTGACCTGGTGTGTGTATGGGGGGGGGGGGGGGGGGGGGGTATATATATGATTGCAGAATCTTGGTAAACAAACTGACTGCTGTACTACTCGCCTTTTAATCTCTTGGTAGAGTACTTGGATGACTTTAATCACGCCGCTATTGAATTTGGCTCACCCATCCAGTTAGTGTTCCCTGCAGCAAGTTTGCGAGATTGACGTGTGTATCCTGTCGCCTCAAACTCGGCTCGGTCAGTGTGTGGGCGAGAAAATCTCGGTAAATCACGGTCGATCTCTCGCCAGTCGGTCCGAGCGTGTTCTGAATTGAGCGCACGATAATGAATAAATTACTCGAGTGAGAGTCCCAGCAGACCCCGGCAACCCGCCATTAACTCGAACCATCGTGTGGTCGATCCTCGCCCAGTGTATGTACTTAGTTTCCCTGACGTAAATGCTTCGGTTAGACGGCGAATAGACAGATAAAGTTGTATGAATTACATGTAATCACGTGATGATCTTGGTGTATCAGACAGATAGGGTCAGCGCACTTGTCTTGCGTGGGTTGGCAGGGATAGTGTGTGTTGGAGGGTGATGTTTACCCATTGCGTCATTAATAGCCAGGTCTCTACTGTCGTGAAGCAGTTTGGTTGACCGATCATTCATAGACCTTAATTCACTAATTACGATGACAGAACTCACGTGGCAGTTTAATGAGACTGACTCATGTACATTTCTACTTTATAACTGTTATAAACTTCAAAAATGATCAATATCCGGCGTGTGTTGACCTTACGCTGCAACTGACCTCTCCCCACGGGTATATCCGGAGCGGCTTAAAGTCCTCCGTGGACAAAGGTCACCGGAAGTCACACAGAGCGTCCATGTATTAAATGAGTATTTCCGGCTGCAGCAGATGTAAGGTAACACACGGAATGTAGCTGTAGCGGTAAGGGTTTTAACGGACCGTGTTTTATAAAGTCAGTTGCGACCTAGTTTACACCGCGTTATTTTCGTCCATGACCCCCCCCCCCCCCCCTCTCTCTCTCTCTCTCCCTCCCGACGTGAAGGAATGTCACGTGACTTGCCCGAGTGACTGGCAGGATGGGAGGGGGTCGGTGGCGCGTAATTGGCGGTTTCCTGTTTGTATGGGCTGAGGGCAGATTGCCGAGACTCCAAAGACTTGCGGTTTAAGGGATTTTCCACACGACCCTCCATCTATAAGTATAATAGTTATGTGGTTGTGCGAGATCTGAGCCGCATACGACACAGGGATTAAAAATATGGAAGGCGGAATAACATTTGTTTTGAAATTGGCCTGGATTTGAAATATCAGGATGGAAAATTTCCGTATTTCGCCCAGTGTTGTTGTTAAATAGGACAATGTCAAGGTCAAAGTAGGTGATAAAATATTCGGTATTTTATCAGCCAGGGCCGGAAACCCGATCTGTGTTTGCGGTGTTGAGATCCAGGACGCGTTGAATGAAACTTTGGCAGGTCTGCCAACTCCCTCCGCCGCGATAAGGGCAAAAGGTTTTATTCATTCCCGGCAATTTATATTCATTAGAATTTCCGCTCATTTTGTGGTGCGGAAATATCCTCCAATCTCCCTCATCAGTCCCACTTGTTATTTACGTCGGGCAAAAATGCGAGCAATTGTTTGGGAAGAAGAACTATGATGGTTAGGATTAACGGCAAGAGTTATATGGTGAGGCGGGTCGGTGATGGCCTGGGGCGGGGTATGGTATAACCCCCCACCCCCACCCCCGTCACGTGTTTTGGTCTCCTTCCTGACATTATCTGGCAATGCTTGACGTCAGCTTCTGACATTTTCCCGCACCATGTTTTTGACGTTTGTTGTTTTTGATGTTTTGCAGATGAGGCAAGACGGAATCATCAAGGCGTTCTAGTCCACTGCCTGGCCGGCATCAGCCGCTCGGTCACCGTCACTGTAGCCTACATGATGTCTCGTCGGGCCATGAGTCTGAACGAAGCCTACGACTACGTGAAGACCTGCAAACCAAATATCTCCCCGAACTTCACTTTCATGGGACAGCTCTTGGACTTTGAAAAGAGCCTTGAGCGGCCGGAGTTCGGGTGTGCGGAGTGTGAAGCCAAGGACCGCATGTTCTGTAAGGAGTGTACGGATGAAGCCGTGAGCCTATCAAGCCCCGAGACGAGTCCTCTGGCTAAAGTCGAATCCTGACAAGTTCTGCCCAGGAACCTTGTGGATTAGGTCAGATGGTTTCTTCAACTCATGGTCACACTAGTTTGAGGAATACCTATGTCAACACGTCGCTGCCCCACCGGAAAGAAGAACAGACAGCCGGAAGTTGATAAAAGAAGCTTTCGGAAGCTATCGGTTTATGCCGCGGGGGTTAGAAGCTCCTGAAGAGCGGTGCGTTCCGATTGCGGTGGACATGCAGTGATGTTAGCAGCGTAGTGCTCGGAAATCCCGGAATGGGTTAAGATGGTCTTTCATGAACGTTACAGAACGTGTATGGTGCAAGAATATGGCAGCTATTACTATCGTGTGAAGTAGTGCACGAGTCATAATATTACCCGGACAAGCCGGGCTGACATTGTTCAGGGTGCAACCCAGTAAGGGGTTCTCCACATTATTGTACATAGTGCTCCTCATCCCGTCTCATGAAGTTGTTCACATCGTCACCGTACGAATACCTCGTTGTTTGAGAAATGTTGTAACTATATTTTATTATACACCAGAGTAAAACAAAAATCTATGTTTTCCAATTCCTGATTTTGTTCTCATTCTCATACATTGAGACACTTCTCTGTTGCTGGTCGGGAAGGTTGGCGTGTGAGAAGCTGTTCTCCATATCATCATCATCATCATCATCATCACAATTACAATAAGGAATTCTCACCTTCCAGACACGTACTCCGTACTCATGTGTATAGATATACACACACACTTACTCGCACACACATACATAAAAAGACACACGTATTCACACACACACGTACTCACACATACATACACACGTACTCGCACATATATACACGTACTCGCACATACATACACATGTAATCACACGTACTCACACATACATACACAATTACTCGCATACATACACATGTACTCGCACATACATACACATGTACTCGCACATACATACACATATACTCGCACACACATACACATGTACTCGCACATACATACACACGTACTCGCACATACATACACACATACTCACATACACATGTACTCGCACACACATACTCACACATACATACCCACATACTCACACATACATACACACGTCCTCGCACATATATACACGTACTCGCACACACATACACATGTACTCACACATACATACACATGTACTCGCACACAATACTCACACATACCCACACACGTACTCGCACATATATACACGTACTCGCACACCCATACACATGTACTCGCACACACGTACTCGCACATACATACACATGTACTCGCACATATATACACGTACTTGCACACACACCGCCTGCGTGGTCTAGTGGTAGAGCGTCCGCCCGGAGAGCGGAAGGTCCGGGGTTCGATCCCCGACTGCGTCATACCAAAAGACGTTAAAAGATGGTACTTGTTGTTACCCTGTCTGGCGCTCGGCATTAAGGGGCTTAAACAAGGCCTGGTCGGCTCGGAGTCAGTATACTGTGTCTGAGTGGGGTATTCATCTTAAACTGCGGCGTGGTATCTCAGTGAGCTAGCACTATAAATCGGTATCAGTCCGGACTAGTACAAGCAGCCACACACACACACACACGTGCATGCACGTCGCTATATAAGTGCAGTAACCTTGGACGCGACGTTAAACCCCATTTCACCTCACCTCACTTGCACACACATACACATGTACTCACACATACATACATACACACGTACTTGCACACACATACACATGTACTCACACATACATACACTTGTACTCGCACACACATACTCACATACATACACACGTACTTGCACACACGTACACATGTACTCACACATTCATACACATGTACTCGCACACATACACACGTACTCTCACATACATACACACGTACTCGCACATGTATTCACGTACTTGCACGTACTCACACATACATACACATGTACTCGCACACGTACACACGTACTCTCACATACATACATACGTACTCGCACATATATACACGTACTTGCACACACATACACATATATTCACACATACATACACATGTACTCGCACATACATACACACGTACTCGCACACACATACACATGTAATCACACATATATACACACGTACTCACACATACATACACATGTACTCACACATACATACACACGTACTCGCACAATCGCACATACATACACACGTACTCGCACTTACATACACACGTACTCGCACTTACATACACACGTACTCGCACTTACATACACATGTACTCGCACATACATACACATGTACTCGCACATACATACACACGTACTCGCACATACATACACATGTACTCGCACATACATACACACGTACTCGCACATACATACACACGTACTCGCACATACATACACACGTACTCGCACTTACATACACACGTACTCGCACTTACATACACACGTACTCGCACATACATACACACGTACTCGCACTTACATACACACGTACTCGCACATACATACACACGTACTCACACATACATACACACGTACTCGCACTTACATACACACGTACTCGCACATACATACACATGTACTCGCACATACATACACGTACTCCCACATACATACACATGTACTCGCACATACATACACACGTACTCGCACATACATACACATGTACTCGCACATACATACACACGTACTCGCACATACATACACATGTACTCGCACATACATACACATGTACTCGCACTTACATACACACGTACTCGCACATACATACACACGTACTCACACATACATACACACGTATTCGCACTTACATACACACGTACTCGCACATACATACACGTACTCACACATACATACACATGTACTCGTACATACATACACATGTACTCGCACATACATACACATGTACTCGCACATACATACACATGTACTCGCACACACATACACATGTACTCGCACATACATACACACGTACTCGCACATACATACACACGTACTCGCACATACATACACACGTACTCGCACATACATACACATGTACTCGCACAAACATACACATGTACTCGCACACACATACACATGTACTCGCACATACATACACACGTACTCGCACATACATACACACGTACTCGCACATACATACACATGTACTCGCACATACATACACATGTACTCGCACAAACATACACATGTACTCGCACACACATACACATGTACTCGCACACACATACACATGTACTCACACATACATACACACGTACTCGCACATACATACACACGTACTCACACATACATACACATGTACTCACACATACATACACATGTACTCGCACAAACATACACATGTACTCGCACAAACATACACATGTACTCGCACTTACATACACACGTACTCACACATACGTACACGTATACTCGCACATACATACACATGTACTCGCACATACGTACACGTGTACTCGCACAAACATACACATGTACTCGCACAAACATACACATGTACTCGCACTTACATACACACGTACTCACACATACGTACACGTATACTCGCACATACATACACATGTACTCGCACATACATACACATGTACTCGCACAAACATACACATGTACTCGCACACACATACACATGTACTCGCACACACATACACATGTACTCGCACATACATACACATGTACTCGCACATACATACACATGTACTCGCACACACATACACATGTACTCGCACACACATACACGTACTCGCACATACATACACATGTACTCGCACATACATACACACGTACTCGCACACACATACACATGTACTCGCACATACATACACATGTACTCGCACATACATACACATGTACTCGCACATACATACACATGTACTCGCACACACATACACGTACTCGCACATACATACACACGTACTCGCACATACATACACATGTACTCGCACACACATACACATGTACTCGCACATACATACACATGTACTCGCACGTACATACACATGTACTCGCACATACATACACATGTACTCGCACACACATACACGTTCTCGCACATACATACAAATGTACTCGCACAAACATACACATGTACTCGCACAAACATACACATGTACTCGCACACACATACACACGTACTCGCACATACATACACACGTACTCGCACATACATACACATGTACTCGCACATACATACCCACGTACTCGCACATACATACACACGTACTCGCACACACATACACACGTACTCGCACTTACATACACATGTACTCGCACACACATACACATGTACTCGCACATACTTACACATGTACTCGCACACACATACACATGTACTCGCACATACATACACATGTACTCACACATACGTACACGTATACTCGCACATACATACACATGTACTCGCACACACATACACACGTACTCGCACTTACAAACACACGTACTCGCATATACATACACACGTACTCGCACATACATACACATCTACTCGCACATACATACACATCTACTCGCACATACATACACGTGTACTCGCACATACATACATACATACATACATACATACATACATACATACATACATACATACATACATACATACATATATATATGTACTCGCACATATATAGTCTTATGTGGGTATAGTCGGTGGGGTTGTGGTTGGAGTGTAGTCGGTGGGGTTGTGACGAGTATAGTCGGTGGGGTTGTGGTTGGAGCGTAGTCGGTTGGGTTGTGACGAGTATAGTCGGTGGGGTTGTGGTTGGAGTGTAGTCGGTGGGGTTGTGGTCGGAGTGTAGTCGCTGGGGTTGTGGTTGTAGTGTAGTCGGTGGGGTTGTGGTTGAAGTGTAGTCGGTGGGGTTGTGGTTGGAGTGTAGTTGGTGGGGTTGTAGCTGGAGAGTAGTCGGTGGGGTTGTGACGAGTATAGTGGGTTGGGTTGTGGTTGGAGTGTAGTCAGTTGGGTTGTAGCTGGAGTGTAGTCAGTGGGGTTGTGACGAGTATTGTGGGTGGGGTTGTGGTTGGAGAGTAGTCGGTGGGGTTGTAGCTGGAGTGTAATCGGTGGGGTTGTAGCTGGAGAGTAGTCGGTGGGGTTGTGACGAGTATAGTGGGTGGGGTTGTGGTTGGAGAGTAGTCGGTGGGGTTGTGACGAATGTAGTGGGTGGGGTTGTGGTTGGAGTGTAGTCGGTGGGGTTGTAGCTCGAGTGTAGTCAGTGGGGTTGAAGCTGGAGCGTAGTCGGTGGGGTTGTAGCTGGAGTGTAGTCAGTTGGGTTGTAGCTGGAGTGTAGTCAGTGGGGTTGTAGCTGGCGTGTAGTCAGTGGGGTTGTAGCTGGAGTGTAGTCAGTGGGGTTGTAGCTGGAGTGTAGTCGGTGGGGTTGTAGCTCGAGTGTAGTCAGTGGGGTTGTAGCTGGAGTGTAGTCGGTGGGGTTGTAGCTGGAGTGTAGTCAGTAGGGTTGTAGCTGGAGTGTAGTCAGTGGGGTTGTAGCTCGAGTGTAGTCAGTGGGGTTGTAGCTGGAGTGTAGTCAGTAGGGTTGAAGCTGGAGTGTAGTCAGTGGGGTTGTAGTTGGAGTGTAGTCAGTGGGGTTGTAGCTGGAGTGTAGTCGGGGGG